GTGTATTGCTACATTTTGGAATTATTGGTAGGATCTTGGGATCATAGTAGACCTTTTGATTAAAATCTGAATTTCTAATGTATGAAAATTTTTTCCTTTCTTAAGGATTTAAAATCGTTTAATCTTACAGTTCGTGTACTTCAAAATACGATAAAAATAATCAATTTTCAATTGGCCACAGATAAGAACGCTCTTATTTGAAAGTGAGCCAGAAATCTCGGACGCGAGAAATCTTGATATATCGAAAGAATGTACGGGATGTAAGGATCATCAAGGATGACTTCGTATGCAAGTGAAGTAGCCTGGAGGTATGCGGAGATTTCGGGATCGATAAAAAAAAGGGAGAGTACTGGGCGAGTGGAGAAAAAGGTGGTTCGCACAGGGACGTGGCGAGAATCGTATGACCTTCGATCTCGGAGGAAATCTCTGGTTCTCCATATCCGACGGATGATGTCGTTCGTTAGTTCGTTCCATCGGCCAGCGACTCTCAACTTGCTCTATCTAGAATTCCAGGAGGAGCGGCCGAGTTACGATGATATCAATACCTACTCGCGAGAGATACACCCGCAAGGGAGGAGCCATATCTCTCGCGATACCATTGTGATGTACCAACGTCTACTCTACGAGTACACTATCTGCTAAAAGTTCCAAGAGATCGCTAGAGAAAATTACGATTTAAATTGTAATCCTCTAAACTCAAAATAAATCATGAAGATCCAATTGCGTCAATGTTATTTTAACTTTAAACGAAACTTAAAACATACACACACACACACACACACACTCTCTCTCTCTCTCTCTCTCTCTCTCTCTCTCTCTCTCTCTCAGCCGAAAGAGAGAGAGAGAAAGAGGAAAGTTTGAAAGTCTCACTTAAAGTCAAAATAACGTTGGACTTAAAATAATTGAAATGTCGGTTCCGGAGTTCAAAGTCAATGAACATCGTAAAGTACCTATTAATAGCTGTTTGATATTTTATCACCAGCCAATCATTGTACTAACTTAAATTTCCTTTGGTTTATTGACATTTTCCAGCCATTACATTTCTTATTCTTGTAACTGAAGTATGAAGAGCATGACATCGAGCAATATGCTGAATATATATTCAACATATTGCTTCAGCACGTGATCATTATTTACACCGCTACCATAATCCGCGGCGATTAGGCGCGCTTATTTGCGACGGAGCAGAAAATCAGAGTTGCCTTAAACGGTGATTTCAAACTACCCTGAAATATAAACACCGTTCGTCTGAAATAAGAGCTTTCTCACACCAAACGAATGCGTTCAATATGACGTGCTCGTTACTTTCAGCTCCTACATCGCTATTGCACCCTGGGCCGGAGGAGATAAAACCGCCGGGCCGGAATTCCATGTGTGTCACGTTTGCGCCGTGCGTTTTGAAATTCGAAACAGGTCTCGCTTCCTTCCAGGAGTTATATTGGCCCAGGGGCAAAACCGCGGCTCATCTCTTCGTGGTATTGTTGCTTTTATCGACCTCTTTTCCTTCTCCGCGATATGATGTAATTTGCTATACGCGTCTTCGAGATTCTCGAACATGCGAAATATTCACTGCGTCTCTCGTCACCTTGAACTTAAGACACCATGTATACCGATAGAAGACTTCACGCGTGTCGGCGTGTATAAACTTCATATGAGGTATCGTACTTCTAACAAAGTAGCGAGTGTGCATGTTTACACCAATGGTGTAGAATAGTGCCATTGCATCATTTGATATCGTATTATATCACAATGCGCTGTCGCCGTGAAATTTAATTAATTGGCTTTTGAAATTACACATTAATACAGTTCTGGAATTAATGTGAAATTAACACTCAAAATTCAAATTAATTATGAAATTATTAGAGCAATTTATGTAATTGAATACTTATGTATTTATTAAATAAAGTTTTTACATTTATTAATTATTTATTGTAATAACTCTCGTTCATTGTCTTTGTTTTTGCGATCGTTTGCTCAAATCTTTCTTATTTCTCTATAACTATCACGAACCTCTATAGCGGATATGATGTAGTATTTTTATGACGCGGTCGGCAGGCAATTATGCGTTTTTCATCAAGAGAAGAGCAATGACGCTCGTCTGCCGCTCGTAAGCGTAATGAGTCCGCGTTACTAATGATCGTAGGTTTGTAATCACGTCGAAGGACCGGATGCCGCTGGATCCGCCGATCAATTGACGATACTTATGACGACCTTGGCAATTATTATGAATCCGTTTATAGCTCTCTGCCATTTTTCCAGAGTGCACAAAATATCATTTGATCATTATCGTTAATTTCGCAGTAAACTTTAAGCAGGTAATAGCGAGTGTTTTGGAACAGCATGATATTTTGACGTCGAAGGACACCTTATATATTCAACACAATTCTCATAATAAGCTCGTTACATCAGTTACAAATGTATCCTCATTAAAATAATTTTTTACATTAAAGTTTTTAGGACGTTTTGATAGATCAATTTGCATTATTAACACATTTCATGCTGCCTCAATTTTAAACTGACTTGTCTATCGGTAATTATATTTGTTTATTATAATTGCTTAAAAAAAGGAATTTCATAATGATTAAAAACTCCAAATTACATTGTTCAAACAAAAAGCAACTTTTTTTCTCTTCAAAGTGCTATAATGTATATCCTGAATATTTTATTACACTAAACAATGTCTTTAACAGAATTTGCGTAGCACATCAGGATTTTTAGATTTGAGGTAATAGTATATTGGAACAGGTTTTTAATCACTTCATCCTACTAAAAATCCTAATATCCTCAAATTCTCTGATATTCATATTCAGTACAAAAATCTTTAGGCTATACTATGACATTTTGTAAAGGAAAAAAGTAATTTTTTGTTAAACTGCGTAATCATATATATACATATTTCATTTCGATCATTTATTTTATGCTTATGTTTTTTTTTTATAAACTAAATATCAAAAGATCTAGACAGAAAGTCTAGCGCGGATCACGCGACATGGATTCGTAATAATAAATTTTATCCTACAGATTGTCAATTTATATATATAAATTGAAATGAATGTTTAAGCCCAAAATACCTAAACCACACGAGCGTGATTTCTTGGCAGAAATAATGTTAATAACGTTTATCTTCTTGTTAGCCTATGAGGGTAACCGCGCGCCCTCGCGTTATACGGTCTGACAACATTCGCATGAGTCAAGGATTACGCTTCCTAAACGCTTATCCACCGTTATCTTAAGGTAACGACAGGATTAATCTGCCCTTTCCGGTAAAGAGTGCCGCAACAAAGCGGAACGACCGCACCCGCTGGTTTTACCGGAGGAAGTCGTGCTCTTCTGCCTGCACTCGGCATGCACCTCTCGTGTCTGACGCACGTTCCTCTCCATGTCCGGCAACGTTCATCCACTCGTCGACACTCACAAGAATCAGACCTGATACAAGCGCGTGCTGGAGACGCGCATACGGGTACATTCGGCTCTTCTCATGAGCGAGCGTGACATAGGAGTACTTGGAGATACGAGAAAGGTAAGGAAAAATAAGGCTCGTGCCCTGCCCGTCCGGTGACTGAACCCACACAGCATTTCACGTAAGGAGCTCACACGCACATACCAGTACATATACATGAAACCGGCGTACATACACGTCCGCCTGGTCGAGACATCAGAGTGAAGAACCGTTCGGAAAATCAAGAATCTCATCAGTTAAGATATCGACGTACATTTTGGATTAAAGCGTACGACGGAGGTTTAACTCCGCCACTACAGATGAAAAATGATGGAAGCTAATCACTAATCCGCGTTATTTTGTTATCGACCCCTAGGCCGTGAAAAAGATGATTATTACTGCGAAAGAAGGAGGTACTGCGAAATTATGTGACGTTAACAGAGATATTAAATCTCTTGATGCTTGTTATAGCTTTCTTATTATCGCTAGCTTTCTATTATCTTAGATACTCACAGAGACTTTAAGGCTCCTAACCATTCATCACGGACCTTTAGATTGATGTCATTAGAAGCGAGAAAATACATAAGGAAAATTTTTGCAAAATATGTTAAAATAAAAATATTTTTCATAAAAAAAATTTGCATTTGATAGAGTATACTCATAAAATATTTCAATAACTCTTCTTTTATTTCGGAATGAAATAAAATCATATTTCAATTAATCTCAATTTAACAGCCATCATATATAGTTTGTTTTGTTTCCTAGTTAAACATAATTCAGTTTTAAATATATGATTATTTATAAATTATCGGAATACAAAAATAATTTTTGATATATTTTACAAATCTATTTTAACAATTGTAAATATGGTTTTATTAAAAAGTATATTTTAATATAATTTAAAATAAAAAACAAGAATTTTCTTTATAAAAAAATTACAAAATAGTTGGCTTTTATAAGTACTTATAAGTTTTTTATTTATATTCTTTAGAGCCTAATTTCATTCTTAATTTTCTTTATGTATTTTTCTCGCTTTTGACGTCACAATATGGCACAGTGTATACAGGAATCTTTATATATATATAATGTAGATTATGTTATTAACAATATAAATAAAATTACATTATAATATCCCTTTGTAAATTATATAACACAGAAATAAATAAATTACATATAAATTAAATATACAATTTTACATACTAAAATCACAATGTTTCTTCTTTTATGCGTAACAAAAATCGAAAATAGATGCACATAATCGTTATCAATTTGAGTCTCGGCTCAACGCATCTTCCAAAGGGTTTGTTTAAGTACCAGGAAGTATCGCAGTTCAGGAGGAGAGGGGCTCATGGTGTACGTGGAAGTATGATCTTTGCTCCAGTCTGTCATAAACCTTCCAAGAAGGAGCGTCTTGATTACAAATATCGTGCTTAGGAGAAGTGACATATTCATGACAGACTAATCGTCGCGTTTGCATTTGTGGAACGCTCGCTCGTATTTGTCACGCTTGAGAAACCGAACACAACTATATAAAAGAATACCCATAAATAAGATTACGTACCTTGTCCTCACATGTCTTGTGGCAGATGTACTTGCACACTGAAAAAAAAAAAAATGTAAATAGGTAACACAATGATTATAGAATATAGATTTTTCAGTCTTAATTTTTATTCGATATTAATTTTTACAGATAAATTTAAGTTTAGTTAGTTTTTTATAGATGGATTTACGTTGTAAGATTTACTTAAATAAATTTTAATTAGATAAGTAACTTTGTTTTATTTGATCATTAGCGCATGTTGCAAGTCATTAAAACCATCATTATTGTAAGCATTATGATCGCTTCTTCAATCTACGCGGCATGTTAACTTACAATCATGCTAATTGCCTACTAGCAAATACAGCTGCGATCAGCCCGACCCAGCTTTCACGCGCGTACACAAACGTGCGTATGATCGAGAGTGCATCTACATTAATCGTAGTAATCATCTCATGTAATCTAGAGCAGGGTAATGAAACATAATACCAGTAATAACGCTAATAATAATAATAAAAAGAAAAATGTAGAGTTTCATCCCTACAGCGATTTTGTTTTGAACCGGCACTCTCAGAAGCTTCCGTATCAACGATTGATTCGAAAATACTACCGACGAGAGTCAGCTGTTACCCACTTCTTCATTGCCCTGAAGGGAATGATGTTATCGACTCACCTCTGCAGCAGGAAGCTTGCTTGATCACCGCCTGGTGGCACAAATGACATGGTCGTGGTTTGCGCAATTGCTTGGTGCGGAACACGTGACATTGGGGTTCAAAGTCACTCTGAAACACAGCAAAAGAAGACTCCAATTATTGCGGTGATCATTTTGGCTGATTAAAAAAGAAAGCATCATTGACCAACGCCATTTCATGCTTTTTGCGACCGACTTTTTTGTCGACGTCGATCAATTAGTCGCAAGAACCTTCTCAAGCGATTAACCTCGTTAAGACACGGTATTATAAATGAGGAGTCTGTTTAACAGAGGTGGTACTTGAAGGGGAAACGCCTCATACTTGAAACGAGGTCACAGATTTCAAATCTTGACTCCATTTCTGAACACATTATCATGATGAAGTATTTATAAGCATAATTATTAGATTGTACAATCAATATCAATGTTGAAACATAAATTTATCTATCATCTTTTTTATCTAACATAACATTTATATTAATTCTTAATATTTATAAAATCTTAGTGTATCAAATTAAATATCTGAAAATAAATGATTTTATTAGTCTGTTTATTATTCTACTCAATACTAGGAAAATTTATCACTTTAGATTCACCTCAGTGTAAAAGAAGAAATAAAAAGATTTTTTAACATCAAAAAAATTCAAATAAATTTATGAAACCATAATTATAATCGACATAACATAAATAATTATAATCGAACTTTTCGTAAAATAAAAAATCAGAATGCAGTGCGCGTTTGCAATACTGCCGGCGCGTAACGAGCTCTTACAATTAATCACATAACAAACCAAGGATCAGCTCCACTTAATCATTGCTCCGAGAATCTCTACCGCGCGCGTTTTGCGGCAATTATAATCATTCTCATGTGTGGCTTTTCTGCGGCCGCAGATGGGAGAAGGCTTTCGAGCGTACGGTGCATAAATTGAGAAAACAGAACAGGCATTCATTAGGCTCGCGTTTATCCCCGGATACGCTGCCGGCGAAACATTCTATGACTCCAGTACGACAGTCAACCTGTTAACAGTACTTAAGCCGATGCGCAGCACTCTATCGAGGGAGGCACAGTTCGCGAAGTTATGCGCAAATAAGCGCTCGAGGCGCATTGCATCTTCCGTGAAGAAGCGTGGCCTCCGATTACGAACACGCGATGCACGTGGTCCTCTTTTTCGAGAAACATCCCATCTTTTCACCCACGTTCGATCGAATCCCCGCGGAGGAAAACGCGAATTTGAATACGAATTACGGTGCTGGCGAGTCGCGCTCCATGAAGCACGAATGAGCAATTGCATGCAGATTGTTCGAAAATCTATATAGGAATGTGTTCTCTTAAAGCAAGAACATTCTACTGGATAGTACACATTTAAGTATACGTTACGTACTTTTTAACAAAATAAAAAATTATGAAAAATTACAGATTTTTAAATTGTATTTGAAAGTAATGCAAAAAAATTGGCAGTGATTTAAATTCCCTAAAAAATGGATGGGCCAATGGGTATCCATTGAACATCCTAAGGAGATATCAATGACATGGACACTCATTGGATATTCAAAAGACGCTCTAAACTTTTCGGATGGACATCAAATGGGCGTCTAATGCACAATATCTATATATTCATTCTTATACAAAAAGTATAAATTTCTAAATTATATAAATTTCCGAACATTTTTAAAGCAATGAAGATCCAGCTTCGACCGGGCATTTTAAATTTCTAATATTGATTGTGTTTCTCACATGTATGGTCTAAAATAAAGATTCTTAATATTGTTTATAAATTTTCACTTTCACTTTTTGTAGAAGCTATATACACCTGATATATCTTTAAAATACATAATGCTTTAAAAAAGATTTCGTAATAAATTCATTATTTATTTAAAGAAACATTTAAAGAAACATTATTATTTAAAAAAAGCCATATTTCACAAAAATAATAGAAAAGAAGATTTCAAACTAAATAGAACGCATCGCAATATACGAACACTGCTTCGTTATGGAAAGGCTCGCGAATGCCTGTACTTACGCACACGCATGTTTTTTCTTTGACACAAACATTTAGCGGGTTTAATCATCACAAGACATATGTGTAGAGTAGTAATAAAAAGGCTTTAACGAGTTGATTAAGACATAAGAAAAACACATTGTTTGAAAAACAGAGAGATCCTTGAATATATAAAATTCACACGGTCGTCGTTAATGTGTTAATTTCATTATATATGACAAATTTTTTTTACTAATCTCGATTGGCAACGGATGCGTTGTTGTGAATTACAAAGTATCACGTTATTACCACCATGCAATATTTTATAATTATCATTTTTATTATTAGCATCGTGAAACACGCTAGAAACACGCATTTCTCTCTGCATTGTTTTTCGTCGAGTGGCCGCAAAATTTCATCATGAACACGGCGTTTGTCGAAATTATTCCTCGACTGATTTATTCCCATGTAATAATTCATTGTGCACGCACTTTTCATCGACATAAAAATAATTTTCACAATGCCAGTAAATGTCACACACTCTTTGGAATAAATATAAATTTTTTGAAAATTATATATTGCTTTTAAACACAATGACTTTATTATATACTATTTTTATATATGACTTATATTGTTTTTTATTATTTGATATATTAATATGCCATTGGTATTAATATACCAATATTAAGATAGAATACATTTATTATATTTTAAGCCATTATAAAACAAAAAAATTAATAATATTTAATTAGATTAAAATGAGATAATCTATTATTATTATATGTAAGAATTTGTCAAAAAGACTGGAAGAGACTTAATTTTTTATATTGCAAATTAATAATTCTAGCAATATTTCCAACAGTGCGCCTTTCTCTAAGTTCTCAAATGTAAAATGCATATTCAACAAATATATTGTATTATATTATATAGGAAAACCATAATTATGATCATATTAATTATCAATTGTGACTATTATGCAAAACACTCTGTGTTTTTAATGATTATTGTAATTCGAACACTGTGGAGTCAAGATAAAACGGTTATTTAATACCAATGATCAGTGACGGTTGTCTTCTAGCAGTAATTTAACCCTCTTAATGATAACATGTTTAATTTGCCAACTAATTACCGGATATATTCATATGCTTCCTGGGAATATCGTAAGAAAAGAAAAAAAGGATGATGTAACAATATCCGTTGCTGTTGAATTTTGTAATGCTTATGCACACATCTTGCTAACTAATCGCCGGATTCATTAGTATCCCAGGACCTATGACTTCGTTAAAATGAAGTACCGTCATTGCTCATACGGAGTCTAATTGATCTTTAATCTTCGCAAATTGGAAGGGATCGATGGGATCTAGCGAACTTCGTGACTTTGTCCGTCTTTTAAAACTCTATGACTTCTACGTCTTTTAAAATTCCTTCAAGAAGATTTTATCTTCCATCATATGCTCCTTTCTCATCGTCACAATCTTATTCTTAGGAAACTTAAATAACTTTAATTTTATTCTTTAAATAATCAGAGACTGTATTTTTAATGTTTATTTTGCTACGTTATATTAATTTATTTTACTCAATTTATTTTACTCGTTTTATAGCAAAATTTAAATGAAAGAGTTATAAAGAGTTATAAAGAGACTTATAAAGTTAACTGATATTTCTAAACAATTGAAGTTTTCGATTAGTTTAATCGGATATTTGCTTTCCGTTCATTCTGCTCATGACTTTAATTATGTAAGCACAAGTAGCTTTACTTCACTCAATAAAATTCATATGGTCAAACAAACTTATCCGCAATTTAAATGCATACATGTAGATATTCTATAATCAAGATAAGTGTTTTCTTTTGTGACACACAAAAACGTAATGTGCATAAATAAAACGATACGGAGAGATTTTATTTAACGAGCGAATTGATTTAGGATCGCATCACGAATAACCTACCGCGAATGGATAACTATATCTCATAATAGATTCAATGGATCGTGCGATATATCATGTAACGTGTAATTTCAACATTGCGCACGTTCAATGAGCGCAATACGTATATAACATTGTGCGGTCTAGTGTAATTCGTGATAAATGTATACGACGGGGTCAGTCGTTTTAATGAATTCGAAACGAGCCAAAGTTGCGGTTCCAAACCTGTTGTTTCTATAAATTCAGAGAGCTATTACAATCTAACAATAAATTCTAGTTAGTAGTGCCATTTCAATAGTGATACAATTGAATGAATAAAACTTTTTGCATTCATAACTGATTTATTAGAAGTTGAAAATTTTATATAAGCATGTAGCATTTTTCCATAATAACATATGAAAAAAAATTAAATTAACTTAAATTAACTAGTTAGAAAATGAATTAAATAGTTAGAAATATATTTTGACTATATTGATATTATATATTGTCAATATTGAAAATAGGAAAATCTAATAAATTCTACGCGTGTAATTTATGTAACTTCTGTTATTTAAAAGTATGTTATTTAAAAATATTATTGTGCATATAAATTTATAGCAAGGAATTTTCAAATTTTTAACTATATATTTTAATGTAAAAAAAGCAATAATTTCTTATATCGACCACGGTAAATACGTCAATTTACTAAATCAACGTTATCAAAAATATATCTTTGAGTCTCTTGTTTATTCGTTATTATTATCTCGAATTATGACGTCAGAACCGAGAATATATAAATTCTCTCAAAATTCTTGTAAAACATATTAATATGAAAATATGTTTCAATAAAATAACTCATAATCAAAAGAAAAATATTTTTCTTTAAATATAACTCGTTTATTATGTGTTTTCTCACTTATCATAATCTGAGATAGTAGTAGGAAGCGAGCAGAAACGTATAATAAATGGATTATGTATTAATTAATATATATAATGATTTTGTTTCACAGAAAGATATAAAATAAAATCAAATCATGTGTATAAATCTTTAAGAATTCTTTGAAGAAATTTTAAGATACATCTTTTTAATTAATTTGCTTCTTACAATGATCGTTTGTTCTCTTACAACTCATAATTCTCTATGTGAAAAGTTTGAACTGTTTGAAGAGTTCTACAGTTTTTTTTAATGATGCCAGAACCTTAATCTAGA